CCACTTGTTAGTGGGAAAAGTGGGAAGCAAGGAAACACGTTTTCTACCCAACCGAATACTACAATCTTAACTGAAATTACCTCTACAAGCAAATGCTTATTTGTAAACTCAAAAAAATATTATGTTTTGATGAAATCTAATAGCTCTTTGAGTTTAACAACGTCACATATTTTTTAATTTTGTACATAAGAACATTATTGGCAATTAAGTGAAATTATTTGTCAATTTGAGTAGCTTTTCGTCGCCAGTGGTAATCAACCAAGGAGAATTGTTAAAAAAAATCGCCAAACTGGCAAAAATGATGTTCATTTTAGTCACGTTTCGACCCCTTTATCGGGTACTTTTCCGATCTACTCTTAATTTATTACACTTAACTTATTAGCCAATTGATGTCTTAATTTATTTAACTTATTATCTTATTCTTTTGACTGTCTTTTTGTTACTTCTACACTTAATTTATTAATTTATTAATTTCTCTAACTACAAAAATATCTAATTATTTACTTGTAACAATTTCAGATATAATATTATGAATTTGCTACCACAGACTCGTGAACCAATTCTCTTTCGGCATAAATTAAAATGTCCAGTCAACTTTAGGTAATTGTTCGTCCATGTACATATTAAAGAGTTCTTTTTCTATATTGCGGTTTGAGCACTTGTAATGTTTCCAGATTGTACTTGAAAAGGACCCGATAAAGGGGTCGAAACGTCGTGACTAAAATAAACATAATTTTTGCCAGTTTGGTCGATTTTTTGGGGGGGAAATTATTTGTAATCAGATGAAATGATGTAATCGGTGGGACAACTTTTTGGCCAGTGGTTACCTCCTTGTTACGAATCGTGCGCCGTAGAAAAATAAAAATCGACAGGTTTTTAAAAGGAAAGAAAAAGTATCCGAGACTATTCTCGCAGAGAGGACGAAACCCTGCGAGATCGAGAGAGACAGAAAGGAGCGTGTAGCATTCGGTGAAACAACGCAGTTGCGAGGTTGATGAACCATCGTCGTCTATGTACATAGCGTCAAGAAGTTTTATTGCTGGTGAATTTTCATTGAATTTCAAGCGATGTCGAGCGAATTCAAATAGCTACATGTTATCGCTTCGAATCGATACCAGCGGCAGTTTCGATCCCCACGTTCCCTCTTTTTCCGCGGGATATAAATCTCTCCTCCCGCTGGTCGTTGTTGGTGTTCTTGTAAATCGCGTCTTTACAAACTAATTCCACGCGGTGTAACGGCCGCGTCGCAACGAATTACAAACGGCCCGGGGCCCCCACCGTATAGATCCTGACGTTTTATTTCCGCGTCGTGCGCCAACTCGCGACAAGCTGGGGCCCGCGGCGCGTGTAAATACGCGATCATGTCGCGGGTGATGCACTATAGCCCCGGGTTCGCCACGATGACTAATGACGTTAGGAAATTGAACCGGCGCCTCGATGCAGTCTCGAAAGAGAACGCGGGAGAAGCCGGGCGGGAAAATACCGCCTGCCGAACTCACAATCAGTTGGCGAGTCAATTTTCCGGCATCATTTATTTACGCGCGGTTAACTTCCATCGGCAGGCAGGCAGGCAGGCACGTCGTAATCGAAAGCAAATAAATAACAAAACATGCACGCAATCGACTCAAGGTGCGTTTGCCATCTCTATATCTCGTACAGCGACTGTTAAAACTTATAATCCATTGTTTTCTGTAATACATTTGTTTCTATAGAATATTTAAAGATTATATACTTCTTAGGAATTGATTTTGATTTTACTTGAATTATTAGTTCAACAAACTCGTATTGCCTAGATAAAATTAACACGTTCAATGTTGGTGACGGTGATGAATATACTAGTGTTATACGTGAACGCTTTGCTGATATTGTATTCTAGTCCGCTACGAGGTGAAGATGCATTAGCGAAAGCACCTGATACCCAATTCCTCCAACATTAACACGAAACAGTTACCGATTACTGCCAATACAATTTCACGTGCTCGATCAATTCCCAAATTATGTTAATTAATTTTGACATTTGTTTATAAACGAGGATATGTTGTAACTTAATTAAGATATTGGGAATTTATAATTGATACGAAAACGTTTGCTTTAATTCTCGATGTAAAGTTAGTTTCGTTCTGAAATTATCGCGGGTAAAATTCGCTGCTCTTTTAACGCTCATCTTCCGAAAGCAAAACCATCTTTTCATATTCGGAATTAGCGGGTGTCATTACGACGAGAGGTCATAACCACATCACGAGGGGTTGCGTGGCCCGCGTAAATGCACGTGAACGCATTTACGGTGGCGCATCGGCGACGAGAAAATTGAAATTTCGCCTAGCAGAACGCTTTTCCGCGTGCACCATCTGGCCGGGGTGCCGGTAAGAGCTTTCACTGCGAAATGTCTTCTGTTCGTTAACGAGTTAACGAGAAGAAACGCGGGCGAAAAAGGCCGAGACTCGGACAGAAGCGCGAAGGGGAGGCGAAAAGCGTTAGTCCGACCATTCCTAAAGCTTCCAGATGAAATTCCAGTTGCAAGCGTGGTAATGTCGGATCGACCGAATGGAGGACTGTTATTCCGTAATAATGGCGTTCTCGAAAACTCATCTGCCGTAGTCTGCGCGCTAGTCTGCGCGCAACTGGACGTTCCAGCATTAACATCCGCCTTTATCGCTTTCGATGACAATTTTATTGTAGCTTCGCCGCGCCATTTTTTATGCGATATGCTCGTTTGTCGACCAGTCGGACATTTTTTGTAATTAGCGGATATACTTCTTGCGTGCGCGTTTGAAATTGTCACGCCAACTTTTGCCGACTGGATTTACGGAAATCCGAAAAGCGAGAGCCTTTTTCGCAACGTCTCCGGCGGATGAAGCCAATTCTGTAAAATGGGCTTTTTACCGGGGCCAATCGGATTAACTGTAACGATTAGCGGTAAGTGTGACACCGCAACATTTTCTCGCAGCATAATCGAGAAGCCGGGATTCCCTGCTGGCGCTAAGAAAGGCTGTTGTCTTCTCATTACATAATATTAATCGTTTCAATATTTCCAATTTCTTTTCAAGACACTTTCATTAACAGTCGGCTCTCGCCTGACAATAAATCTAGATCATAGATTTTTACAAAGGCTCTCTTTCGATTTAACGCGTCGCAACGCCGCATATGATGAAGCAGTTCCGGGTGTACGATCTTACGAGTGAAAAACCATTCTTCTAAGTAATAAAATTATCCTCCGCAAGCACGGCGAGCTATCGACGTGTCAGCGTCGTCTAGCGATCGTTGCCGAGGTTGCGGTTTTGCGACAAAATAAGGGAAAAGAAGGACAGCCGCGGTGGCCGAAGGTCGAGAAAACTTCGAGATCTTCATAAACCGGCCCTTTCAGCCTTGCAACCACTGCATTTGCATGCCAAAGATTAACTCGACGAAATGGCGATGGATATGAAAATGCATGACGACATCTTGAGCGTTCGCGAATATCATACGAGTACCGTTTACACCCGTGCGAGGGATCAAGTTCCGCGGCGGGGTTCTACTCGCGCGAGCGAGTAGAATGCCTGGTGAAAGTGTCGACGAAAGTGCAACGACTCGACGTAGAACGGCCAGGAGAAGGGAGATATCGATTGTGTCGACAGCTTGCACTTCCGAAGCAGATGCAATTCTTTTATTCCGCGTTCACACGTCGCTATGGATAAACTCGATACGTACCAGATAACAGATTTCACTGCGCGGATGTTTCCAATATCTATCGCTAAAATTCACAGCGCATTCTGCTTATTTCAACTCCCAATTTATGTAAGTGCGTATTTAGAATCAATTTCCTTTTCCCGCCCAGGTTTCCCTCTTATTCAAAACTCTCGCCCAGTGACAAACGGTGATACATATTAAATTGATAAAGCAACAAAATATCTCTCTCAGTGATACATTTCTAAGAATTGAGGGGGTGGCAAATACTTTTGGCCAGGGCTGTATATGTAATGATTAAAAATACAAGTATCATTTGCTTCTATACCTGCAAAAGCAATTTTAAGTTGGTCGCTTTGTGGTTAAAAATTTTAAAAATATCAGTATGCTCATCAGTATATCACGCAACAAGAATAAATACAAGAGTAAACCCTATTGTATTAGAATAAACATGATAGCTGAAAATATGTCATCTATCTCAAGTATGGTAACGTAATAATCGAAACGTTGATAATAGTAAAAGTAACGTGAATGCCGTATTAGTAAAATATGAACGGTAATGAATAAATCTCATTATGCAACACACCGGCGTTATTTCGCGTGGCCAACACGCGTCGAGCAATTTTGCAGAGTTTTACGCAATTACAAGAAATAACACACACCGTATTGTGCGACGCCCACCGAAAATGCATCGCGTTACACTGCAGTAAATGCAGTTTAACGATATTTTAATTAATGTTTGTTGTAATTAAATTAATAATTAAATCGGCACGCGAGCGGGGACCGCGTCTGTATGCGACGCGAACGTGAAAATCTCCGAACATTAAAATTGTACACGAGATACATAACGGTCCACGGTAGTTAATTACGCGTGGCAATGATGCGTATTCCGGTTTCATTAAATGCGCTATCGCATTTAATCCGCGTGTTTTTCCTTTCCATCTTGCCGCGGCGTATTTCATTTTATCACGTTAATGCACATTACGAGATTCCAGCGAACGCTCCATTTTCTTCGTCCCGCACTGACGACGCGTACGACGCGCTGGTGACTTTTGAAATTTTTCTGCCAGATAAACGTTGCAAAATGCATCGCACGCTTGCCAGTTTCGGTTTTCTAAAAGATCGCGTTCGCTCGCAAGGAACTTTATACATTTTCCTCGCAATTCGTGTATCTTTCCCGCGTCTAACTTTTTATCATATTGAATCTATCCTATTGAATCAAATTTTTTATTCATAACAATAGCGAGAAAGATTCGTGGCTTTTCTACACATGTCTCTTTCGTAATAAAAATGTTTGAGGATAAACATATAATAATAATATGTATCTTTGATTACAGCGACAGCGGCGTGGCCGCGGCAGGAGCAGCCCTGTCCAATAGCAGGAGATTTTTGCATGAACGGTGGTACCTGCCTATTTTTCGAGACTGTCGGTGAACCAGCATGCAAGTGAGTCTAATATTATCCTCGCGAATTACAATTCTACATAATCTTAATTTTCACACGATGGGGGGAGGTATTAGTTTCCTACAAAAATATAAAATGTAATCAAGATTTTTTGATCGCTACAATTCTATTAAAAATGGAAACAATATGCGATTTACTTCCTTTAAAAATCTATTACAGATAAAGCTAATCTTCCAAATGAATTACACGAATGAAAGACCAACCATGAAAATAATCTGCATGTATTAAAAGGAATAAAAATCGTATCAAATTTATTTTTTAGAGAAAAATAAAAAATGGAACCGAAAAATGCACATTGTGATCTTTTGTACTAATACGTAGATATCAATAATATAACTAGTGAGATAAAGTCTTTTACAGCATTAAAATTGAGCAATAGATTTAATCCTGCTAAAGTATGTATCCAAAATCCATCGATTTGAATAAAATGTTTAATATACATGCGTTAGATATATCGCGATTTATTTACCACAGATATATCTCACTGGATTTAACTCATTTTGCATGATCGCAGCAATCGAGCGCTTACAATGCTAGGTAGCCAATAACCACGTACCGGCTAATAATTGTAAGCTATGTAAAGGTATTTCATTTGTGTTTATTCGCACCAAGGATTGTGTAGGAGTTAATTTAAAACAAGGTATACCTCATATATTCCTTAACTTGTAAGCGGTCTCGGAAATCGTCTTTTCTCCAAGTTTTCTTTCTCTCAAAATATCTAAAATATGAATTGAGATAAGAAGAAAATTGCGAATCTATTTTCAAAAAAGGGTAACGGATGTCAATTAATTTAATTTTACATATTACATAAAATTGTATAGATATTTTATCTTTAATTGAGAATATATTTAATATTCTCACAAGGGAAATAGAATAATGACATTTAGGATAAGAAAAGATCGTCATCTGTGACTGACAATTCAGACGTTATTAAAATTTGAGGTTAGCAACTATTTCTGAAATAGAAAAAGTGAGACAAAGATTGTAAACGGTGAGAAAACCTTTTGCTCACGTCGACGTCTCTACTGGAATGCAGGCGAAATCGAGCTTACGTTTCTTGTTACCCCCTTTGTGCGGCCGCCGACGAGTTAGCGGTTAGCAGGGTTGAAGGAAGTTTCAAGAAATGTTTGCTGTCGATTGCTCAAGGGGTCGAGGTTCTTGATAGTCGACGGGGGGAAGTCTAGGCCGAGACTCTTCTATCTTTTCCCGATACACCGGAGAATCATCTCCTCGTTTCTCTCGGACACTTCTCTCTATTTCCTTCTATGTGCTCTTTCCTCTCTCGATTCCAACTCGATACCTCTCTCAAGAATAGATACTTGCTATAAATGCCTCTTCCCATCGCTCTTGCCCCCATTCTCCTCCCTACCGTCTTCGTTTAACATTTTCTCTATTCGTCTTATCAACAGAACGTTCTTCACGTCGTCGACAATTTTCCTAAATTCTCTCGCGGTTCAGCGAATCCCCGTTGTTTCTATTTATCTTCCTTTTAATCCGCGCCCGTCTAACAACTTCTCTCTATAGGCAGCTTCTATTTTTATCTCGGTCATTGCATTCGTTGCTTTCTTTGGTTCTCGCTTTCATTGTTGTAAAGCCAATAACTGATATTTTTCCTTCTTTTGTTAGCACCAAGGGAAGATGGTTAATATCTTCCGGACTTATATTTCTCGCAAATACACCGATATTTTCAGTAAACGTAATTTCGCAGCGAGATGTTTGAGCGCAGCGAGCACTCCAACTCGAAGGTAACGCAATTTACGCTTTAGGATGGAACTATCGACCTTTGGCAATCGTCGACCTCGATATTACGGCCGACCCAACGTGCGCAAAACGTTCGGTCCGGGCCCCGGACGAATTTTCCGAAATTATCCGAACCTTACTTCTATTATCGCTTTTTTCACGAGCGGTGCTTCCGAAAATTAAATTTCTTGACGATCTCTCACCCTTTCCCCCCTTCCCTCGTCCGCCGCGTGTATTAAATTGATCGGTACCGCCGCGTAGCTGAGTATCCATTTAATTAAAAAAGTTTGCTGGCGAAATGTTCCCTGGCCGGACTTTCCAGCCGGCCGCAATACTCGCGCTCGTTTACGCAACGCATACACGAATGTCGATTTGTCAGAAATTTCAATTGTACGCCGTCGATGATGCACTCGACAGCCTCGTTGGGATTTTTTCGGTACGAGTAGTAAAATCCAAAAAATAAATGAGATACATTCTATTCTTCTTTTATAATTCTTTGCGATGTTGCATTGAAAATTCCGCAACTGCAAACTTTTCAAATGTCGACAATTCTATCAAGTGTGAAATAAACTATGAAATGTAATATAATTTGTATCGATGGCACCGAAGATTATATTATTTGTCAACTAATACTTTGTAAATCCATCTGAGAGAAATTACATCAAGATTAAGACTTGGTTATTTATTATCACTTTTGAAATTTAAATTAGATATCAATAAGAGTACTTGATTGTTGCTTGTAATTAAACAGGTCCTTCCAAATCCTTCAATTCTTTTTCTCTTTTGAAATATTTTGAGCCTTCTTCACTTCATTATCAGCAGAATTACGAACAACTCCATACTTAATTATAGATAAGCGAAAGATCGCGCGACGCAATTTCACCGCGACGCAACCTGAATGTCTAATCTGCACATCCAGTTTATCGCGACTATGTTTTATCATGCCGTCAATCCTTTTGGTCACTTCCGCCAAGCCACAGAGAGAAAGAGTAGGAGGGGGCAAGAGGGAGGAAGAGACACAAGCAAATGTAAACTTTTTCGCACCAGTCGGCGACGCTCGTAAATCTCGCCCCCGAAGGCAAGTTCCATCTCTCTCACTCCTGCGCGACGCAACACACCACCGCTACCACCTGTGACGGGAGTCCCGGTTTCTCGTTTGTTTCTGTTAGGCGACCCCCTCAACTTGTTAACTTTACGTTCTTACCACTTACGGCCAAATTGCCGTATAAAATATGTGCTGTGACGACAAGGCGGCCCCCTTTGCATACCACGGTCCTGTACCCGACAAACGGTTCTCATTCCTCGTAGTGTATCTTCTTTTTCTTGGTTTTCGTGTATAATTAAGGGCGCCGCATTATGTCGTCATGGCGTATGTGTCATTAGAATTAGCGTTAACGCCCGAAAGATTTAGTTGTTCGCTTTCTAAACGATGTAGAGGGTTGTTTTAGAAATACACAGCGCGCTCGGTCTAAATCATAATTAGCCAGACTGAAGACACAACGGTTGCTCTTTTACGTTGGAGTATTAATGTAAAATTATGGAGAGGGTAAAAAGGGTTGTTTAATAAAATATCGAAAATAATTGTTGCTGCTTTCAAGGTACTCGGTAAGAAAAATATGTAAATATTTATATACAGTAAATCCTGTCTTTAACTTGGAGCATATAGAAAACACTTATTTTCTTATTTATTAAAATATCTAACTTGTTTATTGAAATTGTAGTCTTGAAATAAATAATGCTATTCGAATAAAAAGGAATAAAATACGAAATTAATAAATGATTGTAACTTCTGTATAGACTTTTCGAAAACAGTTAAATATCTCGAGTGAAATTTTGAAAACTATTCCAGTGCTGAAAAAGTGGAAAGATAAAAAAAGAGAGAAACATTGCGAGTGCAATGTTTTGTAATCCGCATATTCAGCGACGCGACACACGTTGCTGTATACATGTTGCGCGCTATTTGAAACACTCCTACATGTAGGCGTTGTCCGAGTTGAATCAGATCACCCGTCACGTCTGTAGTTGTCAAGGCAGATTTAAAACGGATCGCCACCGGTAATTCGGTCAAACGTACCGAAATTGGACGTGCTGGCGCGCGACAATAAAACCAGTGAATTCCAGAATGCGTTCGCAAAATCCTAAGCACGCAACAATTCTTTAAACAAGACGTCCATTAGACAGCTTCATCATTATGCGATAATTAAGAAATTCAGATGAAAAAAGTAATAGTCTTGAGTACCGCAGGAGAAAGACAGCTTGTCTAATCACTTTAAAGTAACACAGACAATAATTATATTCAAGTAAAGTTAAATCAGGGCCTTTAGGGTATAAACGAAATAGAAACGAAAACGCCAAATCATTACTGAAGGTAGTCTAATAATTTTAAATTAAATTATTAAAAAATGCTATACTTGGCATTCAATACAATAAACCCCCTCCCCGTACTGAAATAGAAATCTTATTGCGAATACTATTACTTCAGCCATACTCTCAGAAAGGATTTCTGTTACCGAGACAAAAAATATTCTCAACGCATTTATATTCCTCATAACCTCATTTAGTATAAAAATAAAACAATATCAAAATAAAATCAATAATTCTTATTCTCCTCTATCGAATTAAAAAAGATTGACTCACTATATTGAGACAAGAGTAACTTATATAAATGTAAGTTTATATATTCTTGCGTTTAGAATAAATTTTCCTTCCATCTTGCAACGCACAAAGTTGGCACTGCGATATTCGACAAAAGACGATATTATTTTCTTCTAGATTTTAGAATTTTTCATTGAAGATTAAAAGATTCCTTTTCTATAATAAATATGATTGCCGCTATATCGACTCTATTTTATGATACATTCAAGTGTAATAGCATTGGATCCGGAATTTGTTTTCTGTGGATGCAGGATTCGAACCTGGGACCTCCCTCGGTACGTGACGGGCGTCCTAACCAACTCGATCACTTAATTGTAATAGAAATGTTGAAAAAATGTTCTTCTAATTGTAAAATCCAGCGACATGTGACAAAGCTACAAGTAGAAGCAATTATTTGCTAAAACTGCTTTCTAAATGTACGAAATTTGGAAGAAAACTAAAACAATTGGCACGTAGAAAAGTCGTGTAAAAGGTAGTATTTTCACCTACCTAAACTCTCCAATTATCTGTTAATGTTTTATTAAGCGATCATTGGCTAAACTACTCTCGTTCAACAACTGTCTCATTTTCGGCGGCACAAAACGAAA